GAATGTCCACACACACAAAAAAACGAAGCGACACGTTGTAGAAGGTTCCTTGAATAGATAAAAAGCGAGCCAAGAGCAAAGATGGAGATCGAGAAGTTTTCTTACTGTTTTACATCGTCGATGAGTTGGTGACAACCGGCGACACGCAGATGGGGAACTGACTGGAACCGAAAAAATGGCTGTTGCTACGTGGGGTCCTATTTAAACAACTTTTTTGGACTAGGAAGTGGACCAGGAAGTATTGCCTTTCTGCACGTGTCCGCAACTCGACTCTGGCAGCGGTCTGGGCTTCCATCTATCTTTAGAAGTTACTTTGTAAATCTCTCTCTGGCTCTTAACTCAGTTTTTAATCTATTATATATTTTTATTTATTCATCCTTAGTACATTACATATGGGGATACAAGGACACACGTCAATTATGCGTATAATTAGTTATATTATAATTAGTTCTATATACAACATGACAATCTTGTTATAAATTACATAATATAGGGTTATTGGTTTAAATTATCATAGATGGGCCCCGTGAGTGAAAGGGTTTATCCGGGTTTAAGCGGGTAAAGCCTCTCTAACACAGGTAAGTAATTAAAATTTCTTTTAATTAATTAAAACTGTGAGGGTAAAGGGCTATAACAAGATGTTTATTTGGCTATATCTGAAAATTATAAAAATAAAACTTATGTTTAATTTAAAAGTTATGATATTCATTATAAAAGAGAACTGTAGATAAAACCTTTGTTTGCTAAAAAAATAATGATGATAAGAATGTTCTAAGAGATTGTTGGCGGGCGTTGGAAAGGGTTAGGGGTTGAAGAATATGCAATTGTAAGTGTTGCACAGACAATCAAATACTGAGATCCAGGTGCAAAGCGAGGATATAGACTTGTGCGTCTTCCTTGGCAATGTTTCACCTGTGATCCTGTATAAGGTTACAGTGCTTTGTCACAATTGTAAGGTTATTGGTTGAAAAGATGTTGAAGAAAAGAATTAATATGATTGAAAGGGGTGGTAGAGCCATGCGATAAGTAGAATTGTTGTAGCGACAGTAAGTTGTCTGACTTGACTTGAAATCAAAGGTTGATTGTGGTCCGCTAGAGTTGAAAAAAAAATTGAAAATTGAAAAAAGTGAACGCTTTGTGCATGCGTTGGTGATGTGCTCTGCGGATGATTGAAATAAACTTTTGAAACGTGTTCAGACCAAAAAGTCGAGACTTGTACTTCTGGGGAACGGTGTTTTCAAAGAGTTTGTTGAATTACGAAATCAAAAGAAAAATTGTCAAGCAGTGCTGTCGTTTCTCTACGTTGATGTGAAGCAATGGCGGAGAGAAAGATAGTAGTGTAAAGTACACTGAAGTGGTTAGAGAAATAGATTGTTGTAAACGATTGTTGTATATGCCCGATAGTTGATGATAAACAAACGTTGTCATATAATAAAGTAATTAAACAAAAATATAGTGAATAAAAAGATAAAAATGTGATTGTGGATAAAAAAAGTATAAGTGGATAAGATCAAACATGTACTATATGAAAGATATAATAATGAATTAGTAAAATATAAAAGATATAATAATGAGAATTAGTAATATATAAAAGATATAATAATGAATTAAAAATGATTATTGAAAGAATTAACTGTTTTGCCATTGTTAAAATAAAGTTGTTAAAATAATGTTGGAATAAAAATTTGATTATAATTGAAAAGTAAAAAAAAATAAAAAAAAAATAATTATTCAAGATTTTATACAAAAAAAAATATAATATAATTAAAGGTTATTAATGATTAGATAAACAAATGGAGCAAAAAATGTCTCTTTTGAAGAAAAGTTAAAAGAAAACAAAAATATTCGTTCCTGAAAAAAAAAGAAAGGAACATATTCACACAATGTCTAGGTGTAGGTCCAAGATTATTGGTGTCTTTAGTTTGACCTATGGGGAGGCAATGTGGTCCTATGTCGCTTTGGTCCGGTCTGAGAAGTTGGTCTATGCCCGATCTTCCCGATTATATTATGTGAGACCAGACGGGGAGCGATCTTGATTCTTAAAATTGGATGGTATTGACGAAGATGATTGTAATATATAACAATAAAGGGTTAACATTATAAAAGATGGCGTTCTAGTTTAGAAAAAATATTCCATACTGGGCGTGAAAATAATGTAAAAGTTGTAAAACACACGATGATAATTGAAGATATAAAGTTTTATGATATTTTTTTCAATATTAAAATTCAAATTAATAAGTGAATTGGGTAATTATTGGTAAGTCAATTAATTATAGGTGCTGCAATCTATCCATTCTGCGAGCTGTATCACGTGTCAGGTACAGGCGAACTGCAACTGGAGGTGTCAGTTTAACATGGCGGCTGTAACGGGTGTCCATATCAACATGTGTCATGTCCTTTGATGCCTACCGACATAGCTGGGTTGTTTATTTACGTAGGCGGTCCTTTGTTGCCGACCCTTTGTTACCGACTGTCACATGATCCCATGTCTGGCCTACGTCCCGAGTTGAGTTATCTCCTCTTGTCTGTTTGAAAATATAGTCTTCTCGGTGTTCGCAAGTGTTGTGTTTCGACGATGTTGCGGACTAATTAAAAAATGTTATTCAATGATGTCAGGTTAGATGTGCGTAAAAGTGCGACTTCAACGTAGACACGCTTTTGGTGAGGTGTCACAGGCATGAAGGCGTCTTGGGCCTGTTAAGTGAGAAAATTGTTGTGGTGCGCTGTGTAACACTAGTGGGTGTTGTATGGAAAGGTGTCACGTGAAATCTTCGTTTTTGGGTACAGCATCTAACTAGTTTTCGAATGAATAACAAATTTATTAGTCATGGGTGGTTGTTGTACGAAACACATCGAGAATTTTCAGATTGTTATAGAGGTGGTATGTTTATCGTGAAATCTTTGTGTTCGCGACGATATGGAGCTCGTGTGGCTCGAACTAGGACGTGTTAAATCGCGCGTTAATAGATGTGGCCCATTGGAGAAAGTGATGTGGGAGTGTGTTGAAGTTCGTTCTGAGAGATGTGTGAATTATTAATAATTATGCATGTAAAAAGAAAAGGACGAGGAAGTGTAGATATGTTGGAATTTTTAACTTGTTTTGGGGAAGGACAGTTACATTTCTAGTTGTGCTTTTGAAGATATTGTATCTTTCGATTTTTGTATTTTTAAAAAATGCGTTTCACCTATGTTTATTAAAATTTGAATATATTTTTTTAAATCGTTGCTTATGGTAGTGCAAAAATTATCCTTGTAAAAGGGCAATGGCATGATAGTGACTTAATTTGAATGGGGCGTGTACATAAAATAGTGAACATAATAATGATTTTTGCAAAGTTTTGTGTATTTAAGTAAGACATTGGTGTTTTTTGGTATAAAAATAAGGTATTAAGAGAAACACACAAATAAGTTTAGAATTATGATTCGAGTAATTTAAATATAATATGATTTTTTTAAAACTGTAAGATTGCAAGTAATGAATTAAAATTTATAAGTTGCTTAAAATAAAGTAAAAATTGATAAATGAGGGTGTACAATATTTAAAATTTGAATTGAAATGCTATAAAAATGGTAAAATTTGATTTAAAAATAATTACAGTAAAAATAAACATTATATTTATGGAAAATCAAGTTGTTAGCATGTAGAAAGAGTTAAGTAGATTTTTTAAAAACTCACAGTTTTTATGTTTGTTCAGTCAGGAGACTTGGTCTTTGGTTGTTGTCCTGATGACGTGGAAGGCGTCTTGTAGAAGCTTGTGACTTCTGTTTGGCGATGGTGGCATGTCGTCTGGATGGTAGCGTTGTAAGGTCGAAGGTGGGTAACTTCTCACCGGCTTATTTTGCGGGATGTTCGGCTGTGTCGTTGAGGGGAAGATTGCTTGGTCGTTTTGTTGGAATGGCGTGCTTGTTCCTCCATCTTGCTTCTTGGCTCTTCTATCTATCTGGACAGTCTTTACCTTCTTCGTTGTGGTCTCCTTCGTTGTGGTAATCCTGTCGACTCTCTGTAATAATATTGCGTTGGAGATCCTGTCGACTAACTATAATAATAGGTTGGGATCCTGTCTGTGATTAGGGATCCTGTCGACTAGCTGTAATAATGCGTTGAGGTTCTGGTTGGCCTGTTGTAGAACCTCGTCGACTCTCGCTATAAGTTGTGGCAACCGAGGGTCAAACCTGTAGTAACCGCGAGGGACAGTCAGGGGTGGAGAGTTTTCCCGTACCTCTCTGCACCTTGTAGGATCTTTAACAGTTCTCACAGGGTACAGGCAGTCGTGGTCGAGGCAGAGTGGAAAACTGGGAATGTCCACACACACAAAAAAACGAAGCGACACGTTGTAGAAGGTTCCTTGAATAGATAAAAAGCGAGCCAAGAGCAAAGATGGAGATCGAGAAGTTTTCTTACTGTTTTACATCGTCGATGAGTTGGTGACAACCGGCGACACGCAGATGGGGAACTGACTGGAACCGAAAAAATGGCTGTTGCTACGTGGGGTCCTATTTAAACAACTTTTTTGGACTAGGAAGTGGACCAGGAAGTATTGCCTTTCTGCACGTGTCCGCAACTCGACTCTGGCAGCGGTCTGGGCTTCCATCTATCTTTAGAAGTTACTTTGTAAATCTCTCTCTGGCTCTTAACTCAGTTTTTAATCTATTATATATTTTTATTTATTCATCCTTAGTACATTACATATGGGGATACAAGGACACACGTCAATTATGCGTATAATTAGTTATATTATAATTAGTTCTATATACAACATGACAATCTTGTTATAAATTACATAATATAGGGTTATTGGTTTAAATTATCATATATAATATTGAGAAGATAAATATTTTTTATCAAATTAAGGATCTAAAATATTTATACAATATCTATATTTTTATAAAATATAATGCGGCCTATGATTGTAGAACGACATTTGAAAATATCCCGCATGTGTTTCTTTTGACGGAAAAATCACGTTATATAATTATTATGACCGCGTCCATATTATTATGTCCAGGCTAGCCTAGTGAATATGGCGTCTGCACGGTAAGCGGAACACTGTGGGTTCGATTCCCATCCCTGGACACTTTTATTTTTCCGTTTATCATTACTCTTCACAATTCATCCTTTCATACTTCATCCCAAAGGTTAGAAATAATCGTTATTTCTCCTTAAAATAAATTTCGATTTTTTCGTTCAAAAGCAACACATGCGGGATAATTTTCAAATGTCGTTCTAATATCTATATTCATAAATGAAATAACTTCATAAACGATTATTTCAAAATGAGTAGCTTTTTTTAAAATGCCTCAAAGTGATGATTATTCATATAAAGGCTTATAGATATCGGGCATTTCTTAACTAGGGTTGTTTCAAAATTTCTATTATGAGAACTTGCATTTTTATATTTAAAAATAATCGTTATGATTTTTAATGGCGCTGAAATATCAAGCTTACAGGAAGGAAATTTTCTATTGAAATATTTCAATTCACAAATCTTTAACTTTCGGGCACAAATGCTTTTCTACAGGATAAAACTCGATTCAATAAATTATGTAGATAATAAAAGGCATATATTGGATTTAATAAATATAAAATTGTATACAAAAATGTAATGTCTCGATAAAGGTTGGCGTTCAGCCAGCCGAAATATTGGCAAAATAAATATTTTATTAAATCCAATATATGTCTTTTATTATCTAATGAATTAAGTATGGATTGCTCTATTTTCAAAACAAATAAATTATGTATCAAAATATATTGAAATTAAATAAAAATATGCATTTATTGCATCGTGTTTTCTCCCGTAAAAGAACTTTCATGCCTTATTTATTTATTTATGCTTATGAGGTGATACAGCAACGTCTTTATAATTAGAGAGGAGACAAAATGATTTGTGAATTAAATATTTTAAAAAGAAAATTTTCCCTGGAAGCTTGATGTTTTTACCTTAATAGTTATGCAAGGGATTATTTTGTTGAATTATTATTTTTAAATAATTGAATATAACCACTTTTACAATTTCTTTTTACCTTAAATGACATATACCATCATTTTAGCGCTATCTATGGCTATAATATATGCATAGTTCAAATGTTATATTTGAAAAATAATATTAAGGTATATTTTCACAGACCATATACTGTTATTGTTGCTTATTCCTCAATTCGTTTAAACGATCTCTATTAGTTCCCATTGACTCAGCTTTTCTATTATAGTCCTGGCGTTTTCCCAGAGGTTTTTTTTTGGAGGATTTGATACAATTCAATAGATGTTCAGGACTGGCAGGCTGTCTACTATATACTGTGATTATTGAATATTGGAAAGAGAGGGCATGGCTCATCAGTGGCGAACCCTCCCAGGGGTTATATAGGTTGAAACCTCTGGGAGAATTTGCCACTGATGAGCCATTACCTCCCTTTAATCGCTTTTCAATAATTACAGTCTATTGCACACAGAACCTTATACACTGGAAAAACTCGAGATTAAAAATTATTCAGAACTTTTAAAAATCACATTTCGTTTTATACACATTTGCCATTTCTTTGGTACTGGACAAAACACCTGTAAAGACCTTTTTACGTCAGACTTTTCAAATTCTTTTTTTATTCCTCTTTATTGAAGTAATCGTTTCGAAGATAATTTCTTTTAAGTGTTTTTATATAAAAGAAACATCGATTGGAGCAAGATCCTAGGATTAGGGTGGTTATGAAATAACCAGAGATCCATGCTTTGCCCTGAATCGATAACTAGGAACGTAGTTGTCGGGCAGGTATTGCCGTGATGCAGAAGCCATTTTTTAGGCTCTATATTTTATTAGGTTTCAAACGAATGAACTCTTTTAAGAATACAAAATATCCAGATAATCAAATTGATTAATTATATTTCCCTTTGGTGCGAATTGAGAATAGCCAATGTCTTTACTGTTAAATGATGTCACCAGCAAGATCTTCATCTTGGACTTTTATTTCCGGTACTTTCGGCCGATGCACACATTTATCAAACCACACGTTTGATTATCGTTTATTATCTAATCTACACACATCCATGTCTTATGACCCGTTATGACATTATCCATCCAACTTTCATCCTAGGCGAATATTCCAAACATGTTTTGGCCCCTTTCCAAACAGAGGTCCTTTTGTTCTCGTGTAAGAAAGTAAAAGAAAATGACGGCTTACCCTTAAAACTATAAATCATTTCTGATTATTGAATGTGACTAGTGTCAATTTATAATCTAGTCTCTTTAGAAATTGTATTGATTTTTACTCTTTGATTTTTCTCATTGATCACAATCATCAATGTCTATATCTTTTATAAATCAATTTTCTCCCGGCAAAATTTCCATATACACCGGTGTCCAAAAAATAAGATACTTTTGTTTTTTAATGATATGTTTTAAAATATACAACGCTAAAAGCTAAAAAGTAATTTAATTAGGTATTTTAAGTCGTAGAATTTATTTATCGCAACCATTCGATTCGGTAAAATTGAAAATATGCAAATTTTTGCTTGTCTTTATAAGTGTGCTATTTGGCGTGTCGTTTACCCCATCTAAGAATTGTTCAATTATAATTTTATTTAATCCTTAGTTAATTATGAGTTTACGAAAAATTTTAGCAGATGATTTAAAATGGAGAGCTGTTGGAAGAATGGAGGCAGGGCAATCACAAGTTTAAGTAGCAAAATGGCCAAATGTGAATAAATCTGTGGTCAGCAAAATATGGAAACAGTTCATTGAGACAGGAACCATCAAAAGAAAAGAAGGTTCTGGTGGAAAAAGAAAAACAGCTAGCTCTGAAGACCGTTATCTGGTCGTAACTGCCAAGCGCCATAGGGAGATGACACCTATTCAACTCTCTAATGAACTCTCAAGTGCTACTGGAACGAGAATTTCAAGACAAACTGTTTACCGAAGGCTTCACGAAGGTGCTCTTTATGCAAGACGACCAATGGTCTGTATCCCTTTAACCTCTGCTCACAGGAGAGCCCGCTTGAATTGGTGCTTGGAACATCACGCCTGGACTCATGATCAGTGGGCCAATGTTCTCTTCAGTGACGAGTCAAGATTTAGTTTAAACACAGATTCTCGACGAGTTTTCATCTGGAGGGAGCCTGGAACCCGCTATCATCTCAGTAACATCAGGGAAATAGACAGTTTTAGAGGGGGCAGTCTCTTAGTCTGGGCTGGCATCAGTTTTAGCAGACGCACACCCCTCCACATTTTTTCTGGGGTAACTTTTACTGCCCAAAGGTACAGGGACGAGATCCTTGAGCCCTATCTAAGACCTTATAGAGATCAAATTGGTCGAAATTTAATTTTAATGGACGATAATGCTCGTCCGCATAGGGCTAGGCTAGTCAATGAATATCTCCAGAGTGAGAATATTCGAAGGATGGATTGGCCAGCCAGATCTCCGGACCAGAATCCAATAGAGCATATGTGGGATGCTCTAGGGAGGCGTATTGGAGCTCGTCACCCCTCTCCCAGAACCCTCGTTGAGCTAAGAACTTCTCTATTGGAGGAGTGGGGTTTACTACCCCTGGACCTCCTCCAAAGCCTGGTAAACAATATGAGGGCTCGCTGTGAGACCTTGATAGCTGTTAGAGGTGATCATACTCCCTATTGATATTTTATTTCTTTAAGATCTGGATCCTTAGCTTTGGGTATGTTTGTAATAATTTGCATATTTTATAATTTCAAATATTTTTCTTTATTTTCATATAGCTAGTCAAATTCTCCATAGTTTAAACTATTTGTATACTAAATTTTATATTTGTTAATGAATTACCTTTTGAGAAATTCTAATATTGGTTAAGTTTCTTATTTTTTGAACACCAGTGTATATAAATGTACAGCTAACGGGTTTAAAAACCCGTTTCTTTAGAAATATGTGAACAACTTTGGACGTTTTAGAACAAAGAGAACAAAGAATGCTTATTTGTTTAATGTATAATATTTATTCAATGCTCTTTTTCTTAGTTGTATATATTTTTTCACAATTCTGTTACCTACTCTACTACAATATGAATTATTGTAAATAGTTTCGCGCGCAATTATCCAGATCGTTTATAGCGTGTCTTATTAGCAACTGGTAATAAATAAATTAATTAAGTGTAAAAATTGCCAACTTGCTAAATATTTTATTTAAGATTTTAAGATTTCGAAAATAAACTTATTTTCCATAAAATACACGAAAGGTAATATAAACCTCTATATACAAACACTCTTTCTTTATGAAATGTATAACTAATATTTTTTTTATAAATATTTTTCTTATGATATTTTTTTGTCAAATATTACCAAAAATATACGGATTCGCCGCCAGGAGGCCAAACTGCAAGCAGCACGTGCGCTCGCTCCCGGTAAATACACTTTTAATAATCTAATTTAATATTTAATGAACCTATAATTTTAAAGATATAATTAACTTAGTAATACTATATACCACAAATATAATCTTAGCACTTACTGTTAAATCTTACTTTTTTCAAAAATCCGACACCAAGAAATAAAAGACGAAATTTACATGCATAGTACTTGCATTGTTGTTTATTGTTAGTATTAAAGAGCCTAAATTTATCGTTGAGAAGTACGTTGAATTTAAAAAACTATCTTATAATTACAAAATGTACCCATCCTGTCACCTTACCTTAACTCAAAAGTATTCTGCTGCTTACTTGATAAGAGTGATTGCCATACTACTAATCATTGGTGGTGTGGAACTTAACCCCGGGCCCCTACAAAAAAGCAAACAACTCTGTCCACTGTACGAACTCCTGAGACAAAGGAAGTTATGGAAGATGATCTTAAATCTATTGTTATACAAATCCATACAGAGCTAAGGACTTTAGGAGCAAGACTAGAAACTAGATTACAAAACATTGAACAAAAGTTCGATGAATGGGATCAGAGATTGACCGTTATTGAAACTTCCCAGAAAACATGCTTGGAATTAGCCACAAAAAACGATTTAAGAATAAAAAGTCTAGAGGATCACGGTGACATGCTGGACAGGAAAACAAGGGAAAATAACCTTATATTTTACGGTATAATAGGGCCCGAAGCCGAAAACTCAGATGAAA